CTCTGTTTACAAGAATGAGCCAAACTGACTCTAACTCCCAGGTCCCCTGAGTCCCCAGTGTGGAGGGGAATCATTGTGACAAGCCTGCCTCTGTGGGGTTCAGTTGTGACAGCAGAGATAGACCTAGATTGTTCAGAGACCCTTACCCGCTCAGGTCCTCACCAGGCCTGGGAACAGGTTCTCTCTGCTCCCCTCACATGAAGGACAGACATCCAAAAGCGGCCCTCCCCTCTCACTAATGCCAGAGCCTGAAGTCAGTGGTTGTCACACACAGACATTGAAAGCGCTGACAGAAGGTGCTAAAAGGGATTTGCTCAGGGCTACTCTTTCCTCCTCACACCTCACCTTGCTCACCCCCAAAGCCAGGACCCGCGTCCTGGGCCACAGCAGCGTATTCCTTTTTGGACAAAGTCTCTGACAGTGCTGGATTTCTAAGGCAGAAAGGTCACCATGGGCGTGGGGAGTGGAAGTGGAGTGGCCTGGCAAGTGTGTCCCAGGTTCAGGGCTGACAACACAGGCAGGTATGTATTAACTGGGGACCTGCAATCTGGCTCAGAGCTTCCACAGTTACCCCACAGCCCCTCACCCTGACCTAGCTGAGCCCAGGTCCTATGTGCTGCTCCCACCTGAAGTAGGAACCTGAGAACCATCTCTGACTTCAAGGAGTGCCCTGAGGCCAAAGGGGGTGCTCACCTGAGAATTTTCTATGACAAAGTGCACTGCAGTCAGCAGAGGCAGATACAGGGCATTTGGGGGCCTTCCACTTGCGATGCAGCTTCCTTTCTCCCGCTCATTTACTGAAATTAACCCAGCCAACCTCGAGTCCTCTCTTCTCAGCCCACCTGAAGGGCAGACCTCAGAACAAGTCTCCAACTCCCAAGTCCCCTGTTACAGACAGGGGCAAGGGACTCATCCCTAACAGTCGGCCTGTGTGGTGTGGGGCCCACAGCAGAGGCAGCTCTGGATTAGCTGGAGAAACGCTGTGTGAGGAGAGGCTTTAGCAGTCTTCCCACAGCTTCACGCTGCCCTAAGCCCAGTGCACTCTGCTCTCTGGACCTGACGCACAAGCACAGCCCTCCGAACTAGGCTCTGACGCTGCTACTCTCTCGGTGCCCTGAGACCAGGGGGTGCTCTCCTGAGAACTTTCACCTGGTGCTGGGCTAACAGCACAGGCAGGCCTGGGTTACTGTGGGAAGCCCCGCTCTCAGGCAGGCTTCCTCACTCAGCCCTGCCTTCACTTCCCTGACTCCAGGCCTTTCTATCCTCCCACCTGAATCTTAGTGCTCAGAACACACCTTTGATTCTCAGCACCCACTAAAGAGAACGGGGGTGCTCTCCTGAGCATCTTGCCTGGGTGGTGCAGGGCAGGCAAAAGAGGCGTTCCAAGAACATTCAGAAATCTCCCTGCAGTGGGGATTTCCCAGTACCTCCCACCGGACCTCACTTGGGCATAACTGATCCCAGGCTTTCTCTGTCCCTCTCACCTCAAGCTACGTACTCAAAACGAGACTCTCATATCCTCTGACTTCCCAGGGAGGACAAGGGAGCCATTTGCAGACCTGGGTACTTCCTGTGCCGCATGGAGCAGGCAACTGAGACTTTTCTAGAATGTTCTGGGACGTTCTCTCTGGGATGGGGCTTTCGCAGTCCTCCCTCAGCCCTCACCTTGAGCTAACTGAGCGCAGAGCCTCTCCATTCCTCCTTCCTCCCTGGACCTCAGAACAAGGCTCTAATTCTGCACTGGGGATTCCCTGAGGCAAAGTCTGGGCCCCCACCTTAAAATCTTTCCCATTGCTGCAAGGCAGCCAGCACAGGCAAATCTGGATTGCTCCAGGTGCCTCTCTCTGCGGTGAGGCTTCCTCACTCCCTCCACCACCCCTCATGGTGACCCCAGCCCAGCCCTCTCCCCCGTCTCCTCACCTTAAGCACGCACCTCACGACAGGATCTCCTGTGGCTCTGACACAAAGCAGGGGCAGTGAGTGTATGTTATATCCGGGAATGTGCCCGGGGTCTCTCAGTTCTGAAAGCAGGAGCAGAAAGAAATTCTTCAGGCCCTTCCCTCCTCCCTGGGGATCAACACCTTGGTTCCCGGCAGAGACTGTACCCCAGTCCTTCATGGACTTCATTCCATTCCCTATTGTTCAAGACACTGGCTCCCTTGGTCCTCTGAAGCTGAAGGTCATTCTAACAAATCAGCCTGGTAATGGACCAGGGCTGATGAAACAGGAAGACCTGGATGGTTTGGGGACCCTTTCTCTGAGTTAGGACATCTCTCCTTCCCCTACATCCCATCACCTTACCCTAACTGAGCCCCCGCACACTCTACTCCTCTCACCTGAAGCCAGAACCTCTTTAACAGGCCCTCCTGTTGCTCCAACCCAATGAAACCCAGTCAGTGGACGCTACAACCAGCAACATTCCTGGGGCCTGACAGTAAGGGTGGAAGGAGTGTCTCATGTGCCTCAAAACTCCCTAGGGACAGAGCCCAGACGTCTGTGGACTGAATATATTTCCCTCATCCCTGACTGCCAGTCTCCTCTGAGGGGTGACGTGGTCTCAGGTGAAAATCAGTCCTTGTGGTGCAGGAATGACAAAACAGGAATGTCTGGATTGCTTGGAGACCCTCTGTCTGGCATGGGGCTCGCACACTGCCCCTTCAGCTCTCACATCGACCCCAAAAAAGCTGGGATCCTGTCTGAACAAGTGCCATTTCTGCAGGCCGTAGTAAGGTATCTAAAGTGAGGAGTTTTCCCAGAGCACTGGTGGACGGGTCACCAACGAACCTTGTCCTGAAATGTCTGAGGTGGCTCAAGCTTTGAGTACAGTCTCACTCCATTTAGTGGAATTATTTTCTCCATTTATCTATCTGTTTGGACATTTATTGATATTGTTGCTTTAAGTCAATCAGTGCCCATAAAGATTTCACCTGTAATGGACAATCTACGTCATGAAAACGTTTTATTACAGAAAGCCTGAAACATAGCAAAGAAGATACTATCATTATCTCTCTGCACCTGAAACAGAGCTGTAGCAAGGTATAATACATGGCAAATGTCATTTCATTTTGTATGCCCACAGGTGTACATCACAGCCACTGGAAGAATGTAGAAGAAATCAAAAGAATTCTGTTATTTCATCTTTCATATGTCAATACATACTTGTAAATAATGACAATTTAGAATAAATGCACTAGTTATCACCTCTCAAATGCGTGAATGATCATCACATATTCAACTCTATGAAATACTTTTCTGACGGACTTATGCTTTTGTAGCTTCTCCGAATGCATATGCAATTGTGGTACATATGCTGTAATTCTTGTTATGCCTCTTAAATCATTTTTAATCTACATATTTACTCCTCCTTCTCTCTTTTCCCTTGCAATTGCTTTAGTTGTTGAAAACAGCAAGCCTCTATTCTTTCCATCTTCTATACTGTGGATTTTGCTAAGCACCACAGTATGCTGTTTTCTTTTCTTTCTTTCTTTTTTTTTTTTTTTGGCTCTGTTTGTAGTTTTGAGACAGGGTCTCACCATGCAGTTCAGGCTGGCCTTGACCTCACTTTGTAGCCCAGGTTGGTCTCGAACTCACAATGATCCTCCTTCTTCAGTCTTCGTAGTGCTGGAATTACAGGTGTGTGCCACCATGCCCAGCCAGATATGTTTTAATATATTCTTCACTGCCTTGTTTCTAGGGCCTCATAGTGTTACAGATTCATCTTGTATTATGATCTTTTCCAACCCTAAATTCAGCCATTTCTCCAAGAAATTCTGGTTCTTTCTATGGAGAATGGTTCTAGAAATCAATATCCGGATGCTATGGTTGCTCATTGCTACTGGGGAGTTGGTAGCTGTCAGCCTCCTCTGCTGACTGCAAAAAGAATATACCATGTACACACAGCATGTTTATAGAAAGTTATCTACAGTCATATGTGTAAATTAGTGTTTCAGTATTAAATTGAATGTGACTTTA